ACTAACATACTCCTCATGGGACAACCAGGTCTCAGTAAGACAAAGTAAATCAATATCATAATCTGATATAATTCATTCACTAGAACTTATTTTATTTTCATTTTGTTATCTCCACTAACAAAATGTCCAGAACAAGATCCTTACCTCCTCTTAAAGTATCAAGTAAAATAAGGTTACTTGTACAATATTACTCACCAGATGAGTCAGTTTTAGGGAACAAGTCTTCATTGAAGAGGTCGTCTACAAATCAAGTAAGAAAGAAATAGAAAAAGTCACTATATACAACCAACAAAGCAAAAAAACAGAAAAAAAGGGTACAGCATATATTTAGCACAGGGTGCACATGCTGGCTCTAATGATGCTATAATGACACATTATACATGCACTGTGCATACACAGTAGTCATTGCTTTCGAGAAACCCAAAATGGTGGAAAATGTAATGCACATACAATTATGTTCTGGAGACAAATTTGTTCAACAGTGATGGTAGAGAAAAGAAGTACTAAAGAGGAGCAAGGTGGTATTTTGGGTGTCCAAGATTCCTGAATTAAAACTTGAGTTAACTTTCTCGGTGATATTGTTCAGTAACTGGCAGCTGGAGCACCAAGGCTTGAATGAATGAATCCTGTTTCAAGTCCAAGCATGGGAATTAATATCTGTAAACCATACTGGATATCCTCAGGATATACTGCTCCTTATTTATTTGTATCCATTTCACTAGGCAGTCTAATGGGACAAATGTTGCATCCAACATTTATCAGCAGCTTATGGTTGAGTTGCAGATAGCAACTCAAGTGTTCTGCTCCTTACCATCCATGGTCACAGGGAGCTACTGAAAGGTTTCATGGTACTAAAATCCATTTGAACAAAGATGGAAGCTCATCTTAACGAGTGGGATGAGGCTGTCCCCTTCTTCTTGTTTTCCAACTCCAACTTAATCTCTCGGTTTTAACCTGTTCAAGCTCAATTTGTCGAAAACAGGGTCCCTCTGTAGTGGTTCATGGAGAAAGATTTGGAAGATTTTACAACTAAAAAATCCAGGGGATGTTCTTGACTTTGTCTCATATTGTCAAGCTAGGTTACATTAAAAACTTGGGATTGGGGCTAAGGCTTGTGTAGGTAAAATACAGTAAGAGGGCGGTGCAGTATACATTCAATCTAGGAGATTAAATCTAAACTTTTGTGGTTACCAAAAAGTTCAGTGAAATAGTTGTTTAGGTTCTGTGACTGATACATACGGTCGAAGGGGTCAGCTTGGTAGAAATCCAGTTGGCTGAGAGGGTTTGGGTTTATAGTGGACTCTTCCTTCTCTTTCTCATTTTCTCCTCTGTTGTTGATCTCCACCTCCTCTGGGTCATCCTCTATGTCAGATCTGTCTATCTGTGAAACATGAAAACACACCCAGGAGGACATGTTATCTAAACAATGACCACTTCTGGCCGGTAGTCCTATGTTAGACTGGTTGACAGTGTGATCAGTGAAGCTACCCTTGGTGAGCTGGTCCCACTGTCATCTACTTCTTCTCTGGTGTCTGCTAGATTATTGCAGAAAGACGAGCCACTGGCCCTCTGGTAGTCACCCACACAGAAACAGAGAGACAAACACAGAGAGACAGAGAGAAAAGTAAGTGCAACTGGATCGATGGGATAAAGGTAGTCACACCTACTATATATTGTATTAAAAGCTCTACATCTCATCCACAATTTCTGAACGTTGACTTATTTTTCGTTTCTATTTTTTATAGGTTTTTTTGGCTTTATTAGATAGTGACAGCTGTAGATTGACAGGAAAGGTGGGTGGAGAGAGAGGGAATGACATGCAGCAAAGGGCCACAGGTCGGATTCAAACCCGGCCGCTGCAGCAACTCCGTACATGTGTCGCCAGCTCTACCGACTGAGCTAACCGGGCGCACACAATTTGTAAATACAATAACATTGCATTTTCAAAACTATAAATATAACTATAAAGTTAATGATACAAAAATGAATGAAGAAATAAACAACAATAAAGCATAAATTAACTCAAAACGAGTCCAAATATCAACTCGTTCTCTCCAACAGAACATAAAACATTGTTAAGACTCCATATGTTTGAGAACTCTTCCACATTATTTGTGGTTCTGTAAAAACTGAAGTCCACATGTAATCTGGCCTTCAGCATTCTAACAAACAACGTAGGTGCATCAACATCCAAAGAATTTTCCAACTTATTCCTTCTACTGAGGTAGATCTCCATTTTAGCTTAAAATAAAGTTCAACAACTGACATTTCAGTCTCCTCTTCTGTGAGTAAGTAGAACCTAAAATGAACATTTCCATAGAAAAAGTGTCTCCAAACATCCTGAACATTGGCTGCAGCAGCTGAAACAAGGAGTCCAGCCTGCCACAGTCCATGAAGCAGTGAAACACCGTCTCTCTCTGCAAGCAGAAAGGACGTTAGTTAACGGTGGTTTATAGAGTACTCTCCACGCAGGTCTGACCTCACCATTAAGCCCTAGGTGAGCTCTCCAAGGGGTGTCAGTCCGACCGCTGAGCTTGTCCTTGTTCAGAACCTGAACTAACAGTTTGTACATAGTTTTTCCTGTCATAACATTTAACCTGTTAGGTGGTGTTGCTGGACTCCAGCAGTCGACCAGTGCAGTCTTTAAAATCAGGAACAAGTGTCAGTGCAGGGAAGGGATCATCAATGTTTGGTTACAGTGAGCTGTTAACAAGGAGAGTTCAGCCCGTGTCAGCTCACACCTCCAGGTGTTGAGCAGTTGGGTTATGAACAGACCTGACGAGAGGCCAGAGCTGCAGCGTTGATCAGTCGTGGTCCGCATAGTTGCACCACGTGTCCCAGCGTGATGACCCCCGCCGAGCGAAGCAGCTGCAGCACAGAAGGTCCTGCTGTGCGCTCTACGTTGAAGCGGCTCTTTCAAAAGCCAAAACAAGGAAACACAGTTGGCCAGACTCTGCTTGTTGAACAACCCCCACACAGTGAACAGTCCATTATAAAACTTTGGAAGGTTGCACAGTTTGTGAGCACTCAGGTCCATCAGAAACAGAGGCTCAGCGAGACCCAAACCTCCAGCCCGTCTCAGTATGGCTCGGGATATGGATGGGCCTCCAGACGAGGTCTGCTGGACCAGCGGGGAGCCTCTGGATGAAAAGGAGTTGGAAAGCAGCGCCCCTGCTGGCCAGGTGAACTCTGAAGCACATTGGTCTAATGTTTAAAACAGTAAACTCTGTCAAGCCTGGCCATAGATAGAGAGTTATGTCTAGCATGGACCCAAGTGTACTGGCGCTGTGTGGAGTGAAAAACCCTCAAGTGTTACATAAATTATTTTCTTCAATTAACTTAATAATACAGGTCTTGGAGGCTCCATGTGGTTCTGGATGGTTCCTGTCAAGAGTTGAAATTGAGTTAAAATCACCACCCAGGAACATGTAACCTTCCCCACTACAGTTGTAGTGTTTAAAATGTCTAAAAAGAAAACAGCCTTTCTGTGCCTATGGTTGGAGCGTAAACATTAATGAAGGTCATTTTCACATTTTCAAACACCGCTTGTATTTTCAACAAACGACCCTCAATAATTTCTTCAGTAACACAAGAACTGGGTAAAAAGCCTCTAGAAAACAGGACAGCAACTCCTCCACTGTTACTGCTCTTATGGCTGAGGAAGACTTCTCCATCTCCATGCAGGTTCATTCTCAGCTGTGCTGTGAGCCTCTTACATTACATCTAATTTTTTAACTGTGAACAAACTGAATAGAGAAGCTCTCTTTACGTCCTCTCTGGCACCATTAATGTTTAAAAAGCCCAGCTTTATGTCACACATTGTAATGGAAAGACTACATCCAAACAAGGCAGAGAGGAACACGCAGAAAGAAGGAGGACAACAGTAAAAACTCATTCATGAGCAATTTGCGAACTCTTTAACACCAGCTTTTTGAGGCGAAACACCTCTTGGTCAGTAAACGGCTGCTGGCCTGCGTTCTTTGAGAAATATTTAACTGAGTCAAGGAACAGCTGTAGATCAGGGAAGAACTCCTCCACTTTAACTAGTCTCACACCTTTTGTGTTCTGTAAGAACGAGCGGATTCTGGTGAAGGAGTAAACAATCTGCACCTCCAGCAGTGAGCTCCCAGTGAGATCACCTTCACTGTCCTGTGTGCTCACCAGACTGTCCTCTGGCTGAGAGGAGGAGCACGCCGGGGTTGTCTTTGACAATTTAGAAGCCTGTTCACTGTTTGGTTTGCATTCTGAAC